GCGTCTGCCCCTGCAAAAGGGCAAAGTTTGCCGCGCAACCCGTTATATTGCCAAATATGTATATACAACACCCTGTACATCCTTATGTTTATGGACGTCCATAGGAGATTAATTTGTACTGTCTGCCGTCTGGGCACCCTCCATAGTCCTGAAATGATAAGGGCTCCTTCCGACTAACCTATTCTCCACAGTCACAACCTCTCCGCGAATGTTTTGTCGATTTACGACTACGACGCGTACGAGATCAGATTGAGCGAAGCGAAATGACGTAAAAAATACGCTAACAAAATCGGGAAAAATCGACGAAATAAGGTACACCGCGCTCATATTTCAAAAGTCAGACATACCATATGTTTCTGAACGAGCTCTATTTGTACGTTTACCAATCTACGAAATTATACGGAATACTCATTGCTCCGTCTTCCTAATAAATAAGTATGTAATACTCTGCATACGCGAAGTTGAGAACGCGTGAAAGTACAATAGCGAAAGATGATCAAAAAGTTAATCATTATAGCGTTGCATCCGAAACGATGATACTATAATAATCTCGTGCGTACGATATAGCACATACAATTGCTTTTCTTACTCACCTATAAAAGAATCAAATGCACGAAACGATCAATCAAAGCTTATTAAAACTGCAAGGCGCAATGAAATCTCGTAAATTACTTGCGATGACGACAACAAAGTTTACAGCGCAACAGTGGTGAACAGTGGGTAGACACAAGAATCGATTGGCGCGACATTCATGACGTCACGGATGATAACATGTGTCAAAAGAGGAATAGCAAAAATGCGCATCATTGACTCAATCGTGATTTGCTTTTCTCGATTATAATGCTAATAATATAATTTATTAATTAATTATAAAATCTTGCGAATTACTTTTATAATTAATGACAGTTTGTTAAAATTTGTACCGGCTTATCTAAAAGCTACGATTAGATTTATTTTGCCTGTAAAAACTGCTGAACTCAAAATTCAATTTAAAATTCAATTTCGACGATGGCATCACGCTGCAATAATACTTTATGTAATATACATATTATACATATATGTATATATGAAATATAATATAATTTTCTCTATAATTGAATTTATTTAATATTTTATGATTTTATATCTAAATGATATATACATATGATATCATTGAGTAAAAAGATACAGAAAAGAATGTATCGATAGTGGGGGTAGGCTGATTTGCGAACGGAACTACGTCATGGCAGTTATCTTGACCAGCCACTTTTTTTATGTTTTTCACTAAAGTGGGGGAAAAGCGCGCGAACTCTATTGTCTATAATTGGCTCCCTTTGAACGGCAATCTTAATAGACCTGCACTTTTGTATATAGTCACTTTCGTTCGCTTGTTCAGAACCATATACACTTCCTCCTGTGTCTTTTTACTCAATGTATGATATCTATTACATTGTGCATTAAATTATATACTATCATGGGCTGAAAATTTAAGTTTCCGGAATTGGATATAAAATGGCACCATTTACAAAAATTAATCTTATGGCTGTCGAATATATTCCTTCAAATCTCCGCTGTCAAAATTTCATGATATTTCACCGAACAGTTTATGAGTTACAGTCATTTGAACAAGTCAACTTTTGAATTTAAAAAAAAAATGGAAAAAATCAAAATTCGTGCAGTAATCAAATATCAATATTTGAAAGGCTTAAAACCTCAAGAAATCATTGAAGTCATCGATAATTTCTTGAGCTTTTAAGCCTATTTCAAGTATTGATATTTGATCACTGCACAAATTTCGGTTTTTTTCTATTTTTTAAAAAACTCAAAAGTTGACTTGTTCAAATAACTGTAATTTACAAACTATATTCGGTGAAATGTCATGAAATTTTGACAGCAAAGGTTTGAAGGAATATATTTGACAGCTATAAGATTAATTTTTGTATAAGATGCCATCTTGTATCCAATTCCGGAAACTTTTCAGCCCATGTAGTATTTTTAGCACATTTTTCTGTATTATATTTTAAAATAAATTTTAAAGTAATTTTAAAAAATTAAAAACCTTTATTCAGTGAAAAAACTAGCTGTCGATTGGAATCGTGGTGGAGAATCTTTACAGGTTGATCTGTCTTTGCCCGATTAAATTTTGTTTGTAACTTTAAACTGAGAATATATACGCGTATGAGTATAATTAGTTTAGAAAAATTCAAAGTCTAATCACAATGCTTAATTGCAAGTATACTAAATAGCTAGGAACAGCTTGCATAAAAAAGAATTGCTTATGCTATATGATAATTTTCAAAAGGAATGTTATGAAAAATGCGCGATTGTTATATTTTGGTGATTAGTTTATCATCGATCGTAATAAACTGTTTTCGTTAGTGAGAATTATACAAATGTCATGACAAAGCAATAACGAAGGAATAAAAGAAAAAGAAGAAGTCATAGAAATGTTTGGCAATGACAGAAAATGTATATATAAATATATCCATATTAAATATTATATATAAATATTGTATATATTTATTTAACGATCTTTTAAGAGTTACATAAAACGTTCGTTATATAAAACAGTTATTTATTATTTTCATCAAACTCTCACAGAAAAGAAAGTTACAATTGACACTTTTCTCGCAGTTTTTAAATAATCTTATAGATTATCTAAAGTAAATTTCAAATACTTAAATATTTAATTATAACATGCAGAATCTTATTTAAATTTTTAAATTATATAATTGTTATTATCTTTTACAATTTCAAAACAAACACGACATTCTTTAGAAATAGACAGTTTTCACTAAGCTCATATTTGGTAGATGGTACATATATTTTTTCTTTTTGGAATTTTTTTGTTGATTATAATATTGATACAATTGTTCTTTATATTTCTCTCTCTCTTTATACATATTTTTCACATTTTTTCTATTAACAATATATTTCATCATTATTTTGAATATAAAACTTTTCATACAAATATAATTTCTTTTAATCTACATATAATCTGCCTATGTAATACGCACATATAAAGTTAAGTTTTTATACCGTAAATTAATATTGTAAATTAATATTGTAAATTAATATTGTAAATTATATTGTTATAATATCTAAACATCGATAACAGGAACAATCTGCGAACGAGCGAACGTTAAGCACTTTCTAACGCTGTTTGTCAGTTATTGGTTTTGCCATCAATATATTATTACTAATATATAATTATCTATCGATTATATTTGTCAATGATCCGTAGGGCTAATCAAAGAGAAAGGTAAATTATCACGATTGATAGCGCAAACGCAATATTCGAGAATAATTGACGAGACGACGTGCCTGGCGCTTGGTTTCCCTCGAATGGTATTGTATTATTTGCTAAAGCCGCGTTAATGGATTTCATTAAGGGATAATCATGTCCATCGACTAGAGCCATGTCACCGTGCAGCAATGCGCATTTGCCTCGAAAATCGTCCGTGTCTATGCTCCATACCATAACACCTCCCAGCTTCTGCCTCTTTGCATACTCCACCTGAAAGAATTCATTAGAATCAAAATTAGGACGTCCAAGCTTACGCAAATATAAAAAGCGGCTTTTACAATGAGATTTAACTCGTAAAGGACACCTCAGTGCGAATTCGCACCCACAAAATTTTCACAAAAGTAGTTTTTCCAGAAATGCAGTTTTGTTTAACACCCAGTTTTGAAAATAATTACGTTCTTTTTTCGAAAATTTAATATTACCAATCGATTGGTCAAAAAATTTTATATTGAAAAACACACGTTTCGCTTTAATTAATTTTGCTTTTTATTTTCAGAAGGTATAAAACTTTCAAAACGCTTGGTGCGAATTTGCACTCAGATATTCTTTACGGATGTTCAAAAGAACCGTAGCCTTTACGGATTAAGATTAAAGAAAATTGACAAATTACAATCGATTATTCTTCTTATTAAGATAAATAATCAACTATGATTGGTCAATTTTCTTAAATCTTAAGTCTTAAATCTTAAGTCTTAAATCTTATTGTAGGTGCCGAAAGCATATAGAGCAGCATAAAGTGCAATTAAGTTAATATATATATAACTCTAATTTAATTTCTCTTGACATATTTCTACAACGAAGCATAAGACAACGTCAAGATGGTTAATATCTCTAATAATTATGTATAATTTGTAAAAAAAACTGCCAAATATTATTGAAGAAGTTATTCTAAGTGATTATCATCCCAAGCAGAGTAGGTCACGATATCGTCAATGACATTAAAATGATTAATCAAAAAGTGACTTTTAATGATTATTTTGACGTCATTTTGATGTTATTGTGATGTCATGCTGACTTATTGTTCTGCTTGGAATTGAAAGATTAGGACACCTGAAATTTAAAATTTATTAATATTATATTAATTATAATCATTAATATATGTACAGTATAAAATATATAAAAAATATGTATATCAATAATATAAAAATTATAATTAATTATAAATTATGTATGAAATTCGTATTTTATCCTTGGAAATATATAATCAATAAAAGAAGCAATTTTCAGTAAGAGACTGTTTTTGACAAAAATTACAGAAAAAAATACCTTCGCTATCATGGCTTTACGATCATCGTAAACTACAACATGATCCTTATTCTTAACCGCATAAGCTGTGCTGCTCTCATTATCCCATCCAGTTGTCCAATTTTGTGGATACATTACCAACGCCTCACAAATCTGTACAGAAATGTACAATTTATTCGTAAGTAATTTACTTACATATTTATTTTACATTATACATTTTACATGTTAAAGAGCTGCTATGCGTTTTTAATATCATGTTTAAAAAAAAGAAAGAGTAAAATGGTTATCGATTATCAAAATTACGGGATGAAAAGATACCATGAATTAAATATGATATAAATATGTGGACAAATAGCAAAGTACCTCATTGAATCCCATAAAGCCTTCTTCGGACGTATAAGGCCCTTTGAATCCGGTATCCAAACTGGGCATGCCAATCAGATTTATTTTATCTGTTTCTGGTTGAGTTGTAGGAAGGAATGTGTCAACAAGAACAAAAGTTCGTCCGTACATCGCCAGTCCTAAAACTAGTTTCTCGGCTGGGACTCCTTGTTGTAACAAATACGTAATAGTATGTTCCTAAAAATGTTAAAAATTGCTATACTATTATATGATTATGCTACTGTGCTTTAGATCATGTAATATTCACATAAATATAAAATTAAATGTTAAATAAATGTAACATTAATATAATACTAACGAAAAATTTTTATCTCTCAGTGGTGTAATTCTAAATTTTATACTCTTTAAAATTTATTCTCCTTTCTTTCTATTCTTTTTTCTTTTCTCTAAGATTTATCAAGAAAAAAAATAAACAATGATAATACATTCTACGATTGTAAGAAGAAATGAATGAAAAGGAAATCTTTTCGAAATTAATAACTTTAATTTAAAAATTTTTAAAATTTTTAAGGTCATAAAAGACGCTCTCAAATTTATTTGTGTTTTATTCTATGCGGTCTAGTTCAACTTATCATATTTAAAAATTTTTTTTTGTATGTATTTCGTCTTGTTTTTTCTACTTATTTCAATTCATTTCTTTTAAAATTTTCATCTCTTAAAATTTATTTATAAAATTGACAGAAGTTATGTAAATTTAGTCAAGTGTTTTATTAATTTAGAAATATTTTTAACATGTGAAATGGCGCCGCTAGACGATATTAATTCTTGATTCCAATATGTCTGTAACTCTATATATTATAGATGTACATTAATATTTTTACGCGAAAATCTATCTTACCACGTCCAATTGATCCTTGCTTCGCAGTGGTGAATTCGGAAGAACCCGTTTGTTCCATGCTCCGTGATAATCATACGCCATCACGTGAATGTAATCGAGATATTTGGAAATTTCAGGAATATCGTATGCTATATCGATAGTAGACTTGACGGCACTTATAGCTGCGGTTAACGAAAAGCGATGTTCTCTAAAGGCATCCTTCAGTTCCTATCGCAGAATAAATAATGGATTTATTTCCTCTGCTAATTGAAATAATAAAATATAATATTTTTACCTTCACGAGGCTAACAAAATTCTGTTTATCGTACGGAGCACCGCCACGACTTCCCGGAAATTCCCAATCGAGGTCCAACCCGTCGAATCCGTACGTTCTGTCACGACAAAATTTAATTTTTCAAAAAAAGAAATCATAAAATAAGTTCAACAATACAGATAAAGAATTTAAAAATTAAATCAAAATCGAAATTTCAAAATAAAATTTCAATTGTATAGATATTGTAATTAAATCATAAATCGTGATCGTAGCGTAAGAAATTTTCTGAGTAAAGAATGTTTCACTTTAAGAATTGGCTTTCTATAATGAAAAGATAACTTATAGAGGAATGATTAAGAATGATTAAATACATCACGGTGAACGCACTTGAGAAACTCGACAGCACTAGCGATGAAAATCTTCCTACGATCCAGTGAGGAAGCCATTATCGAATAATTTTTGCTGCCCTCGTTCCATCCGCCGATACCGAGCGACACTTTCAAACCTTGTTTACGAAACGCTGTCATTTTTCTGTAGTTCCCTGTTCCTGTATTCAGATATTTCTAAATTACACTTATGAAACTTTAATGCAAGCTTAATGCGATTCGAATCATCATTGATAAATCTATTATTAATAATTAATTAGCAATTTTTTTCGACATTTTAATATATTATATATTAATTGTCCCTTTCTTATTCCGTGTCTTTACGATACAATTAAATTATTATAACACGCTTGGTTTCCTTAACAATTTTTAATTCATTTTGTATAATTTGTTAATTTTTACGGCAATTCATAAGCTTGATTTCACATTAAAGTTGCAATTACCATCTTTTTCCATATCTGCCCAAGGATCGAGGCTTCTTATTGTCCAATTCGAAGCGTTTAAACCAGCAAATGCGTAAATTAAGTGCGTGCAGTGTTCCGGACGCAGATTTTCTAAGGAGAATGCCCCATTTCCTTGCCTGTAGGCAGCCCAGGATGCGACGTAGCAAACAACGACTTTGTCATGTTTCGGTCTTATGAGTCCTGCAATAGAATACATTTTGATATTAATATAATTAAAATACTACATCAATTTTAAAACCAACATTATTTCAACTTTATTTTTTAAAAAACAATTTTATTAAATATTATTATATTATTAATATAATTAATTTAAGGCATGGTTGTGTTCATTTAATAGAATTTTCAATAAACGTAATAATTATTATGTTAATTATAAACTAGTTGCTAAATATAAAATTATAACTTTTGCAAGTTTGTCTTGTATATACACGTACGACGATCAATACATTATATTAATAGGTATAAGCAATAAGGCGTGAAAAATCATTAATGTGTGTTAAAACGATTATTTCAAAATTTCATTTTGAAGAATACCTTATTCAACTATTGTAGATGTTAATTTATGCTTAAATTTAAAAAGAAGTCTTATAAAATAAATTAATTATTTGGCTATTTCAGAATTTTATTTTCTATTAAAGACATATGTATTTCAAGCGACGGTCAACAAATTTCGAAATTTGCATATCCAAACATACATCCAAGAGAATTAAATAAGTAATAGAAATTTGATTCAAATTGATCAAAAGAACTTGTATGATAAAACAGTGATGGAAGCTACTTTCGAGACACTCTGTATATACATTCGCCAGCCTTATGAAAATGTCGCGTCCCCATTGTTGGCGGCTTGCCGGCTTTTACTTTCGCTTGTTAATATGTAAACGCGGGAATTAGTCACTGACCGAGTGCAATAGTAACATGACATTGTACATTGCTGCACAAGTACATATATAATGTACTACATACATATTAATCGTAAATAGGTAGCTCAAGTCAGCGAACTCACCGTGAACGTCGTACATTCCAAAAAGTAGAATCGCAAATAGAAATGCCACGTTGCTGAAGGACATTGTAGCGCGCTAAACTTCCTCGGTGCGTTATATTTAATGCGTCGGACAATCTGCAATTTTCGGGAAAATTAGAAAACATTCACAATACCGTATTTCGAGTACGATAAACGCTGAAATCCCGAAATTCGATATAAAACTGCGTCGATTTTTATTATTTAAAAAATCTACACTATGATGTTATAATTCACCGTGTTATTTGACGCGCTGCTTGACAAGTTCGCGATGATCGACAGAAGTTACGGTAACGGATCTCTAATGTTAGCGATACTTCCGCGATAGATAGCTGTTTTTTTTACATCACACTTGCGATAACGGTGATAACGAATGTTTCGTATCCTTTTTGTATTTACTTTAGAATTTAGATAACGGAACACCGAATTTTAGCCGCTAATCTTGTTATTACAAATGGGCGTTTCTCAATCAAGCCGATCACACGCAGGTAATACTAAAGCAGTACCGATTCGTTTGACTGCAGTCTGTAGACTGTTATAGGACTCAGGCTCAGATACGCGCGCGTCAGCCAGGCCCAGATCACTTTCACTCTAACTGTTTATTCTCGAGTGAGAGACGAGGAGAACGACCGCGAGAGGAGGATGCATTTAGAACCTGTTGTACGTTATTGCCGGAAATCTTCTTTGTCCTTTGCGCGCGGATTCTCCGTCGATTTTCTGACGCAAAAATAATATATACGTATATATATATATACTTATATATATATATATATATATATAACATTATATCTGCGCGTTACTTTATGCATGAGTTACACGCGTGCTTTATAAATAGAACAACATTGCCCAAAAAAGGAAGAAGAAGAAGAAGAAGAAGGCGGGGGAAAAGGAGAAGGAGGAGACGGAGAAGGAAGGAGAGAAAGACGAGGTGAAGAAAAAGGAATAAAAGAACATAGATTAAGATAAAGAGGAAATGGGAATGGGAGGAACCAAAGCAAAAGGAAATAGGAGAAAGAGAAAGGAAATTGAAAGATCAGAAGAAGATACGAAAGGAATAAGAAAGAGAGAGAAAGAGAGAGAGAGAGAGAGAGAGAGAGAGAGAGAGAGAGAGAGGAAAATGTCGCAGAACGATGGCGCTGTGTTAAGATACATATCCTCCCACTGTGCACTGCATCAAGATACATATCAAAAGGAGTAGAGGAAATGGCAGAATATGTTTCCTCTTATTAATAGCTGAAATCTTGAACTGATCTTAATAGTACGAACGAAATCTCTCTTTCTTCCATTAAAAAGATATTATTTTTTAAATGATAAGAAATAATTTTCTAACTAGTTACTCTGTATGAAATTAATAGTTAAACTATTCTATTTTTTGCATGCAAATTAATATTTTCAATTTATAAACAGTAAATAAGTAATTTTTTATTTAGAGTAAGATCTTCAGAGTGACATAGTAATAATAATAACTTGTAGCTAAATACAAAATTACGCGTAGGTTTTTTGCTTATTGCTTACATGTATATGATAATCAGTATGTTAGATCGATAAGATATATAAACAATAAGACGTGAATAATAATTGTTATCGCGAAAGAAGTATTTTGAAAGGAGTACTTCACGGCTCCATTTCGAACAATAGTTTCGTTTAACCATTCTAAATAAAAATCCACGCGAGAATAAACACCCGCTGTATTCGGACGAGCGCATCCTTTGCCCCAAGAGACAATACCGACTTGCGTTCCGTTGCATAGCAATGGCCCACCGCTGTCACCCTGAAAATTCAATAAGTACTTATATTGTAGAATCTAGAAAAATAAAAATCAAAATATTAATACCATTTTTTCAAGACTTCTGTTCAGCGTAAAATAATATAATTTCTTACTTCTATTCATTTACTATTTTTCCTCAAAGAGATAAAAAAAATATTTTGTTTAGCCATATCGTATTTCCAAGGAAGAACTCAACATATACATACACACACATATACATTATATACATGTGTGCAAAATTTAACGCTAACCTGACAGGTATCACGACCACCTTCCAGTACACCAGCGCATAATTGCTTTTCTTTGTGAACACTTGGCATAGGGCATTTGTCAGGCGAGATTAATGGAATTTGAACGTGTTGTAAATACGTACCGCTGCCTTTCTGATAATGAGCCACAGGAAAGTCAAAGAAATAAATTATTCGTTGATATAGCTTCTTGTATTCTCAATTAAATTGTATGGTATTTTTGGAGCTAATTATATTATTAATTGAAATAAATTTTATTTTTAAAGAAAACGCATCTAGGATAAATTGCTGAAGAATACCTTATTAGAACAAATCAGTTTTAAACGGAATCTAAAATTGCTCTATTATTATTTCATGATAAAAATCAAGCCTTCTATGATGCTGGAAAAAAAGTTATTTGCATATCCATTTCTTTTGGAACATTTTTGTATATACAAAGGAAAAGAAATACAAAATGCTTCTTCCATCAGAATATATTATCCTCATTTATGTACCGTATTGAATAAAACACTTTGTAACAACTTGCTTACGTCTGAATCAGGTATGTGTCGACCCCATCCAGCCGCGACACAATCCTCCGTGTATATCTGGAATATATCCGCGATGTATACCGGCGGAAGTGTGACATATTTAACGTAAGCGTTTCTGTAAAGGGGTCTCTTCAGCTGTAAAAGCGGGCAAACGGATGACAGTGCAAGGCCACACAATAAGCGATGGTTACAAGGTTTACTCTCTTTATTATCGACACAGAATTATATACACAGCATAAACAGTCACCCTGAACAATCCAATATCGTTTCGCATGTCCGAGAATCGAAACTCTGCGTGCGGCAATGTCTTGTCTACCAATTCCACTTGCATGGAACCCCAGCTTGGTAAATACACGTAGGTCGCGCCGGCTATCACGTAGAAATAGCGTGGATTCTCCGCTGCCCACGTACCGTCGTGCAACCGTCTTTAAACAACGACCAGTTAATTATACACCTTGATTTTTTTTTTTTACCTAAATAACGGAGCGATGTAAGGAAAAGTGGGACGCGATCAGATCGCGAAACGATGACCGAACTCTTTTCCTGTTGAATGATATCGTGAAGTTCGAGAGCATGTTATTGTTAAATATACAACAAAAATACATCAGAAAATGAACTTAGAATTGATGACATACGACTGAATATACGAATGATTTCTTTTTGAATTCTATGTGCTATCTGAGAAATGAATAGTGAATAATTAAGAATTGAATTTTCCTTTAGAAATTTATTCATAGTAACTGCAGAGAGAAAGATAGAATATATTAAAAATTTAATATAAATTATAATTATTTAATATAATTTATAGCTCGTATTTTCAAAAAGCTTATATATACTAATTCAGGCTAATAAACGAACAAAAACTTAGATATCGATATAAAATATTATATATTATTATTATTAGAATAACTCACAACGAGACGTTTCGACCTGACTCGGTCCTCTTTAGTCATTTTTTATAAATAATTAATAAATAGTGCATTATGTAAATTACAAATAAAACGAGTTAAAAGCTATGTTTGCATTTTAAAAACGGGAATGACATAAAGTTGACATGCAGTTTAAACACAATTATTATATAATATACAGTTTTTATACATTATATAGTTATTATAGATATTATATCCCTTGGTAACATAATAAAGATAAACAACATTACATCAGAGTCAAAAATTACAGAATAGAATTGGTACTGTATAATAGTCAAAGATTACAATGTTATCTTCTGTTTTTAAAATAGCTTACGTATTTATTCTAAAATAGCAAACGTAGCTTTTAACTCGTTTTATTTACAATTACATAATGCAATGATTTTTGTTTATGTTTATTTATATAAGACAGCTGAAAAAGACCAAGTTAGGATTGAAAGTCGTGAGTTACTGTAATAATAATAATATAATATTTTAAATTGACATCTAAGTCTTTAATTTTTAATTTTTAATTTTAATTTTTATCTTATAGGTGTTTGCTCGTTTATTGGCTTGAATGAACGTACCATAATAAAAATTTATTCCATAAAATTAATGTTTTAATTACCAAAGAGCAAGGAGAATTTTACCGAAAATATGTTTATTAAGGTCAACGTGATTACTGTGCTCTCCCTCAATTTGTTTCGTTCCGTTTAAATCACTCTTCTTTTAATATTTTATACGGCCTGTCGTGTAAACGAACGTACTGATTGCGCCCCAATTTCCCTTACGTAGTACGTACAATCACGAGCGGCCGAGCTGACACGTAAAACAGAAACTACGTTCACGTGAGTAGTAGTACATCTCATCGCTAGTACACAGCTAATCGATACACAGATGATAGATACCGCGACAGATATCATTGCCTTATAGGATCTAGCGCCGCTAACCTTCTCGTTACTCGTGAAATATATACGCTAGACAGCACATCACTACTCACAGTCATAGAAATAAATAAATTAGTACAGTTACATGTATAGGGTGGATGAACGGGACGGGAGAAACGGAGTCAAAAATCGCTCTATAATTGACACGCCGATTGTCAACAGACAGTTATTATTATATGTCCGATCGCTGCCACCCTGTTCGTTCGATTTATCTTCCAATCCCGTTCACCCGAGAGAACTTTTGCTGTTTGCTGCACAGTCCGAAGGAGGGTTGCATTCAGTAGCGAAAATATAAGTCCGAATGTTCCGCGTATGTTTCTCGCATACGCGATATAAATATTGCCTACTGAATGTACGTTTTGGGTTACTCTTATACGCATTACAGAACGTACCGTTCAGAAATACATCTCTCTGCGATATTTAACGAATACTTCATAGAACGTGTGTAGATATAAATATCTCTTACAGAGAGACTCTCACTCTCTCGAAATATATATATTACAATACATTTCCAAACTAGATTACTGGAAATTTAAGTCTGCCGACCTCTTACGGTTTCTCACAAATATATGGAAGCGATTTTACATCTTACAAGACACGTCATTACACATCAAACACAAGCCTTGCTTATATTTTTCTCTCGTGTACGCGAACACCGTTATACATACATCTCTGCAGTAGCAAGGAGGTTAAACACGGCCACTAATACCTCATGTAATGTGGTGTAATCCTAAAATGTCTTACCAGGGCGTTCGGTTCGCTTATTACAAATAAGACAATTATATCCCCGTGAATATATCGGGATGCAATTCATACTTCAGCCAGCAAACGATTTCTCCCTCCGTTCTTTTTACCCTCGCGAAACTTACTTTAAATCTAAAAAGATTCGTTAGATCACATAGACAGCTCCGTATTTGACGACTAATTATATCAAAAACTGAGAAGAGATTTTCTCAGCTTCTTAAAAGGTTGCAAGTGAAAGCGAAAGACAGTTTAACCTATTTGAAGAAAATTTGCCCATATGAGAATACCTTACGTCCTAATAAGTATTAAAAGCAAGCGACGAAAATGTGTGACGATAAAATGTCCTTGATATTGGACATTTTTAAATATAGAGATTCGCTCGACATTTCTCACTAAACGAAGAAAATTAATTTAAATCTTTAAGGGAAAGTAATTTAAGAAAAGTATCTAAAAAAAAGTCATTTAAATTTTTTCGCGTTTTCAGAGAGCTTATTAAAATTTATCTGAAGCTTAAGTAATTTTGTACAGCTTAAAAGGAATTAATGCTTTGTATGTACACTTCTTCCAAAGTGCTTTTCAAATTGTAATTATAAAGTAATCTAGAATTTTAAAGGAATAGAAATTTAAATATAAAATTCCAGTATATATATGCTTCAATATCTAAATTTAGAACTTCTAATATAAGGCATTTTTGAGAAAAAAAAATTGTGACGTTATCACAATTGTTATTACAACGCAAATGTATATATTATAATTTGTTTAAATTTGTGTGGCAAATGTATCACAGAAAAGCTAAAGCATATCACATGAAAAGATAAATTCGCTGTACGATGTGGCAGTGTTCCCTAATCATAATTGGCCGCGGTAGCCTTTAGAACAAATAACTTTTTATACATACACTCTTACACATATACGAATTACGAGCAAATAAGCAAGAGATTGACACCTTGATTGCATTAAATTGAAAAGATCACAGTTAACATTAACAGAGAATCAAGCTTAAGTAGTGTCGTGCGCTGTTATATAAACATTTTCGGAGAGTCCACGTGTTCCGATTTAGTCTGAAAAACTTCACGTGAAATATCCTCGCTCATTTTTCATCCCCCGCCCCTCCCCCGTGATTTCACAGAGACAAAGAGAGTGCCGCTATCTTAATCCTGGGATGTAATTCGAGGATCTCTCAAATCCCGTCTTTGTTCAAACGTCCCAGGGATGAAGATTGCGTGTTGGGAAAGGTGGGTGGGGAGGGAAGGGGAGGGGGGGAGATATACATATATACGTATAAAGGACGAACAAAGTGCTAAAGCCCCGGCTAGAAAGAGAGACAGACTACACCACCCTCCGCGACAGACATAGCGCAAAATGCGAAACGCAGTCTTGTTGACACGCACCTGACCATGCAATGGGCGGCCGACAGGACGAATCTACAGGCGACGTAAGTGCCTCCGCACGAGTGGCTATAGGGTCGGCGCTGCACCGAGACCTAAGAGGAATTGACTTTGAAAAATTCGGATTCGCCGAGTCCGAGTCGAGTCGGTTTGCCACCTTAACCCTTGCGCCCTATATAGTAGCTCGGACGTAAGTGCCTAGCGTATGCGAGAAACCGTTTAAACCTCAATTTCGCGAGTAATCTTCTCTTACTTGCTTTTTAACTTTTTTCTTTTATATATTTACCCTCCGTTAAGTCCGTTAAATCTATTCAAGAAAGACATTTCGCAAAATCTCATTCACAGATATACATTTTAAATTGTTTATATTAATTCTTTTAAAACTTTGAATAGAATAGACGTTCTTTGTTGCGCTTTATTCATCCTGCAAACGTTCGCGTTTACCAAGGCAACGCTTGATTATTTGGAAATTGAGATTTCCGGCTGTCTCGAAAGCATTCAAAGTTAGATTGGCACGAGCATTTAAAGTACATCGGTATACCGTCGACTTGGTGTATACATATATATATATATATACGTATCGCGCAAACGAGAAATTAGAAGTGCCGAAATTGCACGACGTAATCTTGTGTTTTAGTAAAACCGCGATATCTCCGCGGTCCGAGAGTTGGTCCTACACGTGAAATTTAATCGAAGCGCAAACTGCAAGATCCGTCAGTCAAAACTTCACCTCCCACGTCATTTTGTTACGTGCGAGTTACCGCGGGCTAGAAATTGAAACAGTCCGCTCGTCTACGAAAGGGCGTTTTAGAAAGAAATTTTATGGGTCGTTTTCTCTCGGGCGCGCGTTGAAACGCTAAAAGTCAACTTCGAACGAGTTGATAAAACCGCCCCCGCGGCGCGACCTTGCACAATACGCTTCGCGTTTACTTCCACGTTCCTTTTGACGTCAGAAGTTCGCGTCACACGCTCTCTATGTACACGCACAATTCGTGCGAGGGAGAGAGACGGTAAACCGATGTTCTTCGCGAAAGGTGAAAGGTTAAGGGGCCTGTGTGCGTGATAGAAATGGGCGCGTCGCACGCATACGATGAACGGATAATTCTTGATGCTGGTGATCTCCCCGCCGACGATGCGCACCGCCGCTGCCGCCGCCTCGTCGGCCGCAGACTCCCACGGCGTCGCGGTCATTTCGACGCCGGTCACCGGGGAAATCGGGCAGATATACGGTATTAGGACGACCACAACCGCGAGGAGTAGCATGGCTCGCGTGCGAGCCGCCGTAAAGACTTAGCGGGATCCTCCATTTTCTGTGCTCCACGCTCCGTCGACTTTTGTTTTTCCGCTAATTTATACCAGGCCTGCTCCCTCCAGCCCGCGCGCACCTTCCTTTAGCGTTTTCCCACACGCTCGAGATAAAGATAAATAAATTATCGTTGCGCTTCTGAAGAAGCTCCGAAGCTGCACGGAGCGCACGTGGCAACGAAATTGTGATGTATCTTTGCGAAAGATAAAAAAAAAAGTAGAGCCTTTGTGTGCGTAGCACCGCATGAATTGGCGTGTTCCGTATTGATTGATGTGAAGTACTCCAAATATAATCTTTTGCACATGACATCTTCTCTCGCCTTCTCCCCCCCCCCTTCTTCGTCCCTCCAAAATCCCTCCTCCCTTGAAAATCAATTCTATATAAGGAAGGTGCAGCTGGAAACAGCAAGCCTGCATGAAACTTCCAATATAATAAATTTCGAGCTTTTTTTCGACGAGGCTAGAGTGAGCGCTGAAACGACTAAACTGTAAGAATAGCTGTATTAAAGAGTGAGATCGTTAAAGAAGACGACTTCTTTTCTATATTAAGTTTCTCAGCGGTTGCGATTTTTGCTTTCCGGGCAAAGCACGTGTCGCCTAGCAGACTAAAATCTGCCTGAGATATTTTCTAATTCTGCGGATAATATGAAAAGGCACTTCTCAATTAAAATATCATTACCAAGCTTTCAAACTTCGCTCAGACGACCGACGATCCCCCGTCTAGCTCTTTACGTCGTATAAATACAATTAAAAGTTAAAAAGTATTATATATTTACTGCAAGTTTGAAAGCATGTAAGAATTTGCACGCGATTGGAGTTATCTCGATTTTTTTGTTTTTTTTTTTAGCAAATAGTCGCGCAATCTGTGAAATACGCATAAAAATTCATTAATCATAAATATATTCTTTACTTCTATAAAGCACTACTAGTAGTCAATGTTTGTTCCCTAATGTTTCCACCTTTCTCTAACTATGACGATTGATTTATCATTTAGTAGTCTGCCGTTTTAAAATCTTTATAATATTAAATTGTAAACCGAATTCGATCGCGCGCGTGAGTACCTCTATATAGTCGTAACATTAAGCTACGGACTTATACGATTCGATCTGTGAAAGCTATCAAAACTTTTTTAGTTAGATTAGTCGTCTAACTGGAGACGATGATACGTTTTACCCTCCGATTATCCTAATAATCAAGATTAGACTAGTACTCTAAAGCCTCGGAAAGCATCGTTCGCGTTCACTCTAGCGTAAACGTTCATCGGCATAATCCTTTTAGTGTTCCAAAGTACCTTAGCAGCCAGCTTAGGTAGTCATACTAACATACCCTTACGCTATACAGCCCAATATGGCTGTTTTAAAGTTGCTGGTATTTAGTAGGAGTACCGGCGACAGCAAAGAGAGACAGAGAGAGAGAGAGGATTATGATTTTTTAACGAGGAGGCGGTATGTCACGACACAGACAAGTGATAATCCCGCGTTAAAGGGGTCGTGGGGAAACCGTTCGTAATAATGGGATACCATTCGGTATATCGGCATCAAGTCTTTTTAAATCCCGTCAAAAAAAATCATGTCGTATCGACGGGTAACGCGCCCAATAGTGTTCCAAAAAGTCCGGCCGCAAACACGACGGCCGTAATCGCTACTTTTCTACTAGATGGTGGAGTCAGAGCCTGATCGAATCAGTCCGCCGGTTCTCTCGATCGACCTCAATAAGACCAATGCGATGCACCGTCCCTCCGAATCGCCGGGGGGATGAGGCAATATAACAAGACCAAGATTGTGTACATTGGTGAATTCAGATAAATCGTCGCCTTATCGTTTAGCCATTACGCGCAGTAATAGCGGGCGATTGCTGATTATTGATCAGACCCTGGCTCGAGTGTCTCTAGTTATATCTCTATCTAGTTTCTCGTAGTTCTCTAAATGCCTAGCCGCTGTCGCGGTGTTTTTTAAGCTTGCCTCTTTAAAAATACGCTGAAGGAAGTCGTAAATGTAATACTGATTGTGTGATAGTTGTACATCCCGTTTCATCGATATCCCTCAGTTCTGCAGTTATATAGTCACGTGAAGTATAGATGAGAAGAATCGAAAACAAAAATGGCTTAAGTGAGCACTCTTGTGGTAGCTCGTTAATTTATTAAAAGGGCAATTTATAAATTAGAAGACAGTTTCGGAGACATTTCGATTATACGTGCAAAGATCAGAGTACCGTACACGTTATCGCCTTAGCAAGAAACGTTTTGTCGATCGACGTTGAATCGACGTCGAATCAATGTTGATCGACTTTGAATCGGCGTGATATTAACGTCGATCGACCAAACACGTCTGGCTGGGCGTCATTTGACTTACGCCATTCTTGCTTTGAATTTCTTGGGTACACGATATGTTTCCTACGGAGCGCTAAGCTCCGAATTACGGCGAAAATGACGGCGAACGTTTGCTCTAGTATAATCTATGTCCTATTATACGCGAAAAAGTTGTCACTTTTCTAGATTATTGTCGGAAAATTGATCTCATCGCTGTGTGCTATCATGAAACATCATGAAACGGGGCGTAATATAAAAAAAAATTTAAAAAGACCATTTATATCTACTGCGAATCAAATCAAAATTCTTTTTATTTTTTTATTTTTTCATTTTTATCGAGATCCTAATGGGTTGAACGATGTGGGAATATTGTAAAAAAAGGAAAAAAGTCTATATTAATGAGAAATGGAAAACTGAGCTATTGATGAATCAGATATCGTTTCCCGAAAGAGGGAAAAATCTATTAAACTGATTCGATTGATATTAAAGCGTTTTTTTTTTTTACGGTAGCAGACTTTTTTTGCACAGCTTTTATAAAAATGTGCGCGCACAGAGTAACAAGAAACGTATTTGCCAGCTTAAAAAACATTGTATTTCTCCAGCGGCGAGGCGAGACTAGATGAAATGTTATATATTAACGCGTATCGGAAAACCATATCGTTTTCTTTTTAAATTAAAATATAAATTACAGTTTGTAATGTGCATACGTCACATCTCGATAACATTAATATAGATCAAATTTTTCATATATATTTAACAATAAAGCCACGTTTTACTTTAAACTGTAATATAAACTCTGTTTTTTCAAAGATACATTAATTAATTCAACGATACAAATATATACATATTTTGCTATGGAACAAAAATATCTTTGCGTAGCTCGTTTTTCTTATCACCTGTTTTTAAGATAATAATTTTCAGAATTCTATCATACGATAAACTCTATAATAAATAGATTCGAATATAGTCATTGAAGGAAGAGACATAGCTTTCCGACACAGCTTGCCGAATGTTCGGACATTTGTTTTCTCATGACAATGGGATTGATATGTTTCGCGAGACAGACGACGCTCGTTATAAGCAATAATCGAAAATAGTTTGCGCACGAAGAAGCCGCGTCTATGAGTTTACAAAACTTCTGCAAAGACAATAAAACCGCTGCCCCCGTGTATTTCGATATATCGAAGGAAGACATTGTGATTGTTCGATCTTACGTTTCATCGCCTTAATATCCTTATAATTAGATATTTTTTACAGCCGAATTATCCTAGAGCAATTGACTTTTTATTAAGGAATAAACTCGTGCATCGCGCTCAATATGCAGAGTATTGTAGGTAGCGTTAGTTCTCGTATGAGAATCGCCGCGGAAGACGTCACATCCGGCGCTGGTATGATTTGCACTGAAACAAGTCGCACGAATACAAAAAATCGGGGCTTTTACTTCTGTTATTGATAAATTGTTAATGGTAAAAAAAAAATATGGGAACCCGAGGGCCGGTAAAGGGCAAACACGCAAAAAGGTACAAAGGTCCCGGAGAGTGCAGTCAGTTTGACTTCGCAAATGGAAATGCGCGCGTGTTTCTTTATTTTCGACGCGCAACGGTTGGTTTTCTCAATAAAATAATCCCGGATCTACACATTTTTATATGATGGGAGCACACTCTTGTTCTATTTTTCGGCATCGTGTGCATATTCAGTGGTCAAAGTGGCTACGTCGCGCTACGTGAAAAAGAATTTAATATCTTTCCGTCGTGAAAAACTTACCTGACACCGTCTTTTTTCTAATATCGGCAAATTGCTCGTGGTGTATGGGAAAATCGGGTATTGTTGCCCGACAGCTGATCTCAAGAAGTCCGTTTTCGCCGGCGTGCAAGGCGGAAACCTCCACTTTCAGCTTGGCGGTAGCGGACATCAGATTGGTCTCTCTATGATATGTATGCGGATAATGACTCACCCGATCAATATCCACCTAAGGCGAGATCAATAATCAGAAAATTACAATCGAACGAGGGAATATTTCAAGAGACATTTAAAATTTAAATTGCGTTTAATTATGTCCAAGTTCGAACAAGATAGAAAGCAAACTTTTTTTTTATAAATATACACTGAGAAAAAAGTTGATATCAGACAAGAAAATATCATAAAAATATGATAATATCATGAACTAAAGAAAATATCACAAAAATCATGTTAATGTTGATGTATGTTTAACTGAAAAACATATATAATTGAACTAAAGAAAAAGTTGATATAACTAAATGCGGTTTATAGACAATTTTTTTTTAGTTCAATTATGTATGTTTTTCAGTTAAACATACGTCAACAATGTCAACATTAACATGATATTTTTGTGATATTTTCTTTAGCTCATGATATTTTCATATTTTTATAATTTTTTCTTTAGTTCAATTATATATATTTTAAGTTAAATCTACATCAACGACATTAACATGATATTTTTGTGAATTAAGAAGTATTTTGTTAAATTAACAAACACTGTTTGACAGCCCGTGACTGCTGTGTAAACAAGTGAAATAAGAAATATTTTTTTAACACTTTTTTCTTGTCAGTGTAAAAATATAAAAAAAACAGTAAAGCATACAATTTTTTTTGTACATAAAACACGCAGAGTGCATGTAAAAATATACTAGTACGTTAATAATTCTATTGGGCTAAAGTATTTTAAGTATCGTTAGAATAAAGAGCGCGATAAGAAATATATATAAGTTCTTTAGTAATAATGTAAGTATATGTATAAAACTTCTATAATAATTTGTGTCTGTGTGTGTGTGTGTGTGTGTATGTGTAATTGTTAAAATAATTAAACAGCTAAATTGTATTCTATCAAACAATTGAAATTAGTTTTATACTCAAAAGACCATTACCTCTTTGCCGTTTATCAACCACGTTATGTAAGGAACTGGGTGTGCGGGCGAAGACGAACAATTTGCCTCCAGGCTTTCGCCTACCACGTATACGCTCTTCTCGAACGTAATGTTAGGATTCAGAGACTGTGGAGCTAAAAGAAATTGTAAAAGGTATGATCGTAGATGCGCGATGATATTTGAAAAGTGGTCAATATTATCGACGTGTTTAAATATTGGCGTCTACTTTCGAGAAATGTCAACATCTAATCACAGTTTTCATATGAAATTAATTAAGATTATTTCGGTCCGATTATTAGATCGATACCGACATCGTGCTTAGTACCTAAATAGCCTTTCGTTAAACTTAATACAATCCAATATTATAATGCCATTAGCAGCGACATTTGTACTTCTGTTCCTGTAAAATTGACACAACCAACTCACATATCACTATCATGTGTACGGGATTAGCGCCAGCAGTGTAAATGGGTGTTGTCATAGTCACTTCACAGGTATAATAACCGGAAGCTTCGTAACGTACTTTGTGCAATTTGATTGTCGTGCCGTTCTTCGAGAACTGGAAAAAAAAGAATAAGCGACACGTTAATATCGGCACGGCGCGGCGTGATCAAGTATTGAACGACACAATACGTCGTTTTAATCGAGATACATCCCTTCACATTGTGCGAAAGAACACGAGTGACAAATATTGTACAGGTAGCACAAGTGTGCATAAAATCGCGTGAAAATTAATTTTTCTGAAAGCGTGATTTTTTCCCTTATATTCACCGTCTCTTCCGGACTCTCTCTTTAAGCTCAGTTGTTGAAAAAGGAAGAGTTACGTTGGCGCGAGAGAAAAATGAAATACCTTTGTATCGCGGCGGGTTTTTTTTCTTTCTAAACCTGTTATTCTTCCGCTTTCAAATACGTTGAATTTGATAATGAAGTACGCCAGAGTTATACTTTGACTGAAAAGTTCAAGAGTCTCCTTCTATGTACCAACTTGCTTTACCGGGATTTGTCACTGTATTCCTTTCATCTAACCATTTTAATTATATCGAGTGGATGCATGAGCAACGGGAGACACTTTGAAAATGCAAAACAGAACACTTGAGAATTATGTAATCCAAAATCAACTAGCGCAGTCTAGTCGTTTATTTCTGTCAGTTTTCATTCTGTTATATTTAGATTATATCTGTCGAGAATAATTTGCTTTAAAATACCTACCCAATTTATTTCGTATTGGGACGACAAACATTTAAATTATGAAAAGAAAATCTCTTTCTTAGATTAGCGCGCAATGTAAAAATTCCAAGAGTTCGAGCAATTCATCATCGCAATCATTTTTTTTTTCCATTATTACCATTCATTTCAGAAATCATAGTATTACCGAGGGTAGAGCGACTGGAAATTCCTATTACATTAACTCAATTTCGTTATTAAGTAGCTTAGATCTAATCATTCTTAGCGCCCCATTTGTTACGCCTATCTCTACCTACATCTTTCATGACGTACTGTAATAACTTTAAGATATCTCGGAATAAACGTTGAGCGAAACAGTCGCAAATTTTCCGTCGACAACGAAGAATTATACCAAATTGCAACGACATAAAATAGCTATCGACTGTTTTCGAAAATTTCCACAGAAATAGCAAACTGAACATTAGAAAAGGAACTGATTCCCAGACAAAGGTGTATTCTAAAGAAAGACGAAGATTTGTAAAAGCAGAAAATCCGTCGCGTATCTCGGTCGTGTAACTCGATCGATTTTTTTTCTATCCGCCGCCGAGGACGAGGTAGATGAAAACTGCCAAGTACCGGAAGGTTTCTCTTTGCACATCGCGAAGAAAGGGCGGAAAGCCTTTTCGGCGCGCTTACAATCGCCCGTCATCAACAGCCTGAAGCACTCGTCAAATGGACGTTCTATTTCTGCCACGTGTAGCCTCATTATTAATGTGTTGACTCTACATACACAGGTCGGCCAGAAGCGCTCGTCCTCTCCGTGTGTGACGTTGGATATCACATATGGATTAGCACAAGTATTGGTTTTCCACCTTATCTCTTTTTTTAATAGATCACCCATCTCTGCGCAGCGCGCACCTCCATCGAAAACACATTCGCGAGGGAAATTGCGCTGCCACGCGTTGTCGCACGACGTTGCCGTTGCAAGGGTTAGGGGGAGGGCGATTTTACGTGGTGCGGAGAGTGCATGTACATGTACGTAAATAACTTTGCTTTGTGTCGATGCATAAAAGACTGCGCCTTAGGTAAATGCGTTAGCTTTGCTCGCTTAATCATTGGCAAGAGACAGGAGCGGACTCCGGATATTCAGCTTATGATCGCCATCGAGGGCGTTCTCGTTATTTTTGGATTTTTGTTTACAACGTTTTTTTTTCTTATAGACCGACGTGCGGGACAAGTATACTGACTAAGTTGTATTTTTACCTGTACACGTAATAATGTCAGACAACAGGTTAAAAAAAGAGAGAGAGAGAGAGACGTTATTTCATTACATAAACAGGTACGCGATGTAATAGAAAGTGAAGCGAAAAGTTTGCAATAAAAAAATAAATAAATGTCTGCTGCGAAAATACACATTGTGCATAAAGTAATACTTAGGAAAATTAAAAGAAAAACGAATGTTTCATAGTTTGATGTATAAACTTTGCTCGTAAAAGAAAGTATTACTATACGTGTAGTATTACTATGAGTACGTTTTTGAAATCTTGAATCTTGAAATCTTAATAAGGACGAAGTGGAAAATGAGACAAGATATACGTGTAAAATTTTTACACGATATATTTATAAACTAAATCACAATAAATTCTAAAATTACACAATGCTATATACAAACATGAAAGAACAGGATTCAAGATATATTCTGAAAACGCAGAGAATATCTCTTCGCTTTCGAGTGATAAATCAGATCTCAAATAGGCTGAATTCAAATTATTTTGCATAGCGAAACATTAGAATTATTGTTGAAATTTGAATACACAAGCGATCATTCAATTTATATCTTAACACTTCCCGTCTAGACACTTTCGACTTCCGTTACGAAGATAGAAATTCGTTTAACATTCAGGTTTAAAGCGACAATATAGACGTGGCTATATATATAACTGTGGGTAGATTGAGATGCAAAGGTCGATGCCATCAGTCTCGGCCCGTGTAAATTTGACACAAATTTATGTAGACGTGTTATCGAACCTGCATGCCATGTTGCGGCACGACTGCGAGATGCCTTTGAGATAATTATGTACGTCAAAGCGAAAGTCACGTTGTACGTCACTGGGGTGTAAAGCGATATTCAAAATATTTATGAGCTGTCAAGAATCGGATGAACCAGGTTTAAAGTTAATTGACATGAAATTAACCATTACCTCTCCTTCTCTTATCGATCCTGTTGGGCGCGCGCTCGAATAACAGCTAAATAATGAAACGACGAGAGTATACAAAGTAAAAAAAGGAAACGCAGAAAATAATTAACAAGGGGTATGTATATTTTGAAAGGCTCCTTATTTTTTTCGCGCGCGACCGTTATCTGTTTCGCTCACCTCCAGTATGGCGCCGTCGATGTGCTGCGTTGGGATATACGGCGGATTTCTCTCCTTAATGTACTGAAATATCCTCTTCTCGCCCTTCATAAATTCTATTTTGTGCAGCAAGTCGTCCGCGACAGTGTGGTTGCACAGCAAGGTGGCCGTGCTGCCGTGCGTTACGTACTGCGGCGCTATCAATTGCACGTTCATGTGATCCGCCAGTGTCGCGTCTGGAATCGTGAAATTACCGTTCGTATATACGTATATGTATATATATATATATACAGTACTATGTAATTCTGGCAACCGAAAACGTCATAACGTTGGACGTTATCTACAATGTGAACGGTATTATTAATTCGGGATTCTGGCACTTGCAAAAATTGCGGAATATGCGATTAAGGGATGATCTTACAATGAGTTTTTTTTTTTATTTTAGTAAATGATAAAAAATCCAAAAAAGCTGAAAGTTAAAATTTATATTTAGTCGAGACATGAGAGAAAAGCGAAATTTTAACATATATCTCTATTTTAAGATTGAATATTTATAATTTAAAATCGACTTTTGCGATCAATTTAATTATTCAGATATTTTCATCTTTTATTTTCGTTTGCACATGTTTGACGTTTTGCGGACTAAAAAACTTTATGATATTTTGCGAGCATTCAAATACGTCGAAAGACTATTGTTTAATAAAGAATGAAGCAAGAACTTTTAAAATCGTAAAACTGCTGCCTGATGTGTTCCATATATCCTAGGGTTATGTGATATTCATTTAGAATTGAATTCGTCGGGGGTTAACTTCAAGGGGTGTCGTAACCTACAAACCTAAATAGGGTCACGTATATAGGGTGTCTTCCGTGCACGTAATCCTAAATCTTGGGACCATATTCTGTTAAGATAAAAATTTATCTGAAATTCAACGGGAAGAATAAGGTTCCTATCATTTCCTGCTGCGTAACTTATTCTTGAAACTTGTTCCATAAAAGAGCTCCTACGTTTGAAATTCTTTATAACTATAGAAACTGTCTGCCTCGCCATTCTCATGAACGACAGACAGATCAACTCCAAATTGCCCATGGGAATTTGTCACTAGAGCAAAATATTGCGACATATTCTTTCCATCCTATCTCCTTGTCCACCTTGTTTTATTGGCTCGGAGCTATTTTATATAGCAAAGTAAAATATAATAATAACGAGACGTGTCAGTGCGGCGTTTGATATTTCGATTAAACGCTGTCAAGACTCGCAATCGTGTTGCATTTGATTTTCATTGGACTGACATCGACGTGACAACGAGACGACGGCGAAACGGATTAATCTAGCTATTCCGGGGAAGAGCCGCTGGGCCTTCGGCCGACCGTAACTACTTGTGGCAGTCCACCCTGTTGCTGGGAGGTGTTACTGTATCGATCAGAATGAAAGCGCGCGTTACCGCCGCACGCATGGTATATTATTTCGAGACGTTTCAAGACAAGAGGCCTATTTTCGAGGTCGATCGCGCCGCCGGATAATGCTAATGCCACGCGATTTTCTACGCGCCTGTACTGTGTAATATTTCAACGATAAGTGTAATCGGCTTAAAGCTGAACGGCCGATTGGGTTATGTCGTCACGAGTTTATCGCAATTAGAATCGACCGACTTTTTTTTCTACTCGATGCTACGTTGATTGAAACAGTGATATAATATAGATCGTACAGAATATATAGACGATTGATTTTAAGGACTATATATAACCGCGTAAACTGCGTACTTTTACTTTGACATAATAAAGTGATACTTTTCTTGCGATATTTTTCGTCGAACTGATATTTATGTTATGAGATCTAGCAATTTTTTTCCCCATATTTCTATAAAACGAGAAAAATATGACTTCATCGTCCGATTCGTATAAAAGAAATTAAATGCCTTGTGTTAAAGCTGAAAAATAAATAAAAATAATAAAAAAATCTTTTTAAAACTTTGTTTGCAAAAGAAATATTTGATATTTTGTAAGAATCATACTCAATAATATATATTTCAGTCTTTTTTATATAAATATTTTTATAACTGCCACGCGAGTGAGAGTTTTCAAAACGTTTAACTCGTAATAAGTATTTAGAACCGACACTTGGTTTCTCTTATGTAAATAACGTGCAATTAGGGTGAATATAATTGGATCGATAAATAGTCGAATAATTGGTTTCTGCCACAATGGCTTTTAAACTCAGGTTGTGTGCGAATGACCGAAAAAGTGGTCGTATTTTTAGCCGTTTCAATTAAACTGATTTATTAGCCTTTTTTTTATTTTATTGATTTGCAATTTTCATTTAATGCCCTACTTTTTTTGCATCTACTTAGTCTGAAACTATATCAATTTGCATATATTTTTTGCTCCATATTACGTTAAATCTGTCAGAATTATTTTTCAAACTTTTTATATTTAATTAGAGTGCAACAGAGAATATGTTCGTCTTTATCTCGAATAAACTTTCTTGGATTTTTTCATATATAAGGCGGTATGTATAGTCCAATTTTATATTTAATAATAGAACTGTCAACGATTAATGACTATTTAAAACTATTTAAAACTATTTAAAAATACATTATATATATCTTTAAAAAAGCAGACAAAGGAGTAAATTTAGTTAATTAATTAAATTATTTACACATTGCAAAAAATTCATGGAAAATCTCAGAAACTGCATTGTTATAAATTTATATATTTTTTAAAAGAAATTATATAAATCAGTTATTTTCACTGCTTGACTAATTCTAATAAATTAAGATTGTCTTAAGTACGATCTCTTTCGAGATGTTATATGGTTGTTTTATTAATTGGATAGATCTTGAGACTACTTGAGGACTAGGTTTAAGACGATCTTAAATAAGATCGGACTATAAATACCGCTCATAAGATTCTTATATTTTATATCGATTTTATATAAATTATCTTATATATTTATAATTTCCTGTTATAACGCTCTAAAATGAATCGAGTAAAATATACGATTTAGGTACCGCGTGCAAACTCTTTATTTTTCACTTATCCGATTAAGGAAATTTTGGCAACTTTAATTAAAACTTATTTGATATCAAATCAGTGAGAAGGATTTTCCGCTGCGGACTTATTACACGCATCTGTCAAACTCTAACAGTTTGAACGGATCCCGTGAAATAGCGAAATTATGTCCGCCTTATTGTGAGGGAGAATCAGATAGTAATTCGAATCGCGAATCATTGTTAAGGAGGCCGGCGAGCGGTGAAATTTCGAGAAAGCCGGAATTCCGCGATTAACGATTAAGATAGCGGCGCGGACTATTGTCGCGAGCTTTTGTCTGCTGGAATTTCGGGAAGCGGCAATGTCGAGCATTTCCTTTGACATTACCTTCCGCGTTCGGGGCGAGCGCGCGTATATATATAGTTTCAGTTTCGCAGTAACTGAGTCGTACGAAGTTGCTATACCGTGCAGGACAAAACCGTTTGACAAAGTGTTCTTATGTATGCACACCGCGTGTGCATTATTGTATCGTAACGCGCGCTACATCGATCTGGCATTAGAACGGAATCGTTCATTCGATCGGGCTGATATACAGACACGGCCACTTTATCCCGTTCCGACGGGCGGCGCGTGACAAAAACGCCGCGATTGTTGCACTATTGATTTCTAGTTTACGTTTCATGACGTTCTTAAATCCTGTGGATGGACTCGCGTTATTAACGGCGTACAGTATTTACGATCCGAATGTGAACCGGGTCGAATTGAGTCGCATTACGACGATTTATTTGATTACACGGCGTTTTCGTGACAAAAACGCGATCTACGACCGAAGAAATTGCCGTGGGATGACCTACAAAACGCGCGGCAGAACCGACACCGTTTGGGGGAGAAAAAAAAATAGTTCGGCGAAAAAGTTGCACTGGCGGCTGGATTGTTTCGAGTTTCATTTGTATTGGCATGTATTAACAGTGTGCATATATACGTGTGCGCGCTTGTACGTGTGTCCAAACAAATGGAGACCATTCATAGGATTCATAGTGAATGTATACATTGTAGTAATTCTACGTGGGTGGTATGAATGATAGGAGCTCATGTACATGAAGTAAAGTGTTCTATTTTTATTCAATTCCACAATTGAAGAAGCGTGTGAATGCCGATGTCGGACTTCCTGCGACAGAAGGAAACCACTTTTAAGATCAGCACCCATACACTAATTTTTTTTTTTTTTTTTTTCAGAACAGTCACAGTGAGAGAGTATTTCATTCCGCCAACACTTACGTGCTGCGACGTGATGCTATATTTATTTGAAGATATAAATAAGTCAGTCATTTTAAAAGCAACATAAGTCCGGTATACGGTAGCTGCGTACTCTCGCCTCTTTGATATCGACAAATTTAACTTTCGCGTTTCTCTGAAAGCCAACACCCAGCAATCCTGGCGAGTCTATAGTCAGACTTATGTTATTTTCGCAATGACTATAATTTGAATATAAGTATTGTAGAGTATATCGGATAAAACTCCGGTGAGACTTGCTAACGGTGGTCGCTTCACATTTGCTCCGGAAAACGTCCCATGGAATGTGGCGTAGGATTATTCTCCGTCGCGGTAACACGTTATGGTGCACTGAACGATTAACCCGAGACATATGTCACACGTCATGGAAGTGCAAAATGTGTAATATTGTCAGAGTACTGAATTGTATGGGGAATAATCTGCTGTGCCTCCGCTGTGGTGTCGTCAACTGAAACAATACAACAATTTCTGCGAGAGAAAACAGAAAAATCATCGTGTCCATCGTCTACAGCGAGCCGAAACGTTAATTATTACGACAAAATTACAAATATATGTAATATTTTATGTTACTATTTCTATTCCGTGACGATAAATTCCGGAAAATTTCGGAACTCGACGTCGTCGCTCCCCTTCGCGGAGTAAAAAGAGATACGATTATCTCTACGAGCTAGCGAGACCAACCCTCCTATGTACAAGATGTTTCCAAGCCCCCTCCCACCAACCTTCCCCCTTCCCCGAGCCCTTATTTACGGACGTGTTGATCAATCTGGAGTCGATTCTTTATCAACAGGCACATATATATCAATATATACATAGGCGGATTAAATGAAAGTGCGAAAACTTTTTCCCGCGAGTCATTCTTATAACGGAGAACCTTATTCTTCATTTAACGTCTCGAACAGACGTCACTCACAGAGAAAATAAAGACACCCAGTCGCCGAGACAATTCAATGCTGAAAATAAGAAAGGATTGTGGAAAATGGCGTTCGCGATAAATATCAAAATGCTGTCCCTCCCCCTCCCGCCACCCCAAAAAAAATCAATCGACAAATCGACGGGCTTGATCGGTGCGATTTCAAGGAATCCCTTTGGAATCGGAGGGATGCTCTCTCAAACGGGTGATTCGGGTCCGAAGGACGAGAGTTGACGCCCGACGACGACGAGCCGACGAATTTCTGGTCAGATTCGCTCGGCCGGCGGCGCGCGACCACCCCCTCGCCCAACGACAACGAATCCTTAAAGAGTCGGGGAAAACACGGGGAGTAACACAAGGGAAACGGGATCGCGCGTGCGGCGGGGAGGGTGCCAATGTTTGTTATCGAGAGGGATAAAACGGGCGCGAGCGCCGGGCGCGCGGGCGCGCGCGCGCGTTCACTTACATGAAAATAATGGCAAACTATACACGAGCAGTAGGATTTTTCTCCAGTGATCGACGACCGGACGCTGCATTTTTTTCGCTTTCTACGAGGCCGGTGGGCTCGCTTCTACTCGGCAACGTGCACGTTTTAATATCTGTTGCTCACTACGTAGCGCGAGGCGGCGGAGGCGAAGGCGGAGGCGAAGGCGTAGTAGGCGAAGGCGAAGGCGAGGCGAGGCGAGGCGAAGGCGCAGGCGAGGCGGAGGTATACGGAAGATAGAGCGTGCGTGTCTACGTTTGTACAGAGTGTGCCTTTAAAACTACGACGCGACCTCGTGTATGCCGGGGAGTCGGCGCTACAACTGAGCCGAGGAGCAGGGCCTTTCGATCGTTCGACCGACCCGTTCCCGTTCGACCGACCTGACCCTCTCCCCCACCCCGTACGCGCGAGCAAAACGCGCGGGGGAGCGCGTCGCGACGCGACGCGGGACGACGCGCGACGACGCGGCGCGGGTGGCGGCGCGCGCTCGCCTCGCTGCTCGCCGCTCGGCTCGGGCGCCTGCGACGCCCGCACGAGGCGGGACCGGCCGCCTTCCGGTTTATTAAGGGATGCCCGCGTGCGCTCCCCGGACGGAGAAAATCCAACGAGGGTACGCCGATTCTCTCCTTGACAGGCGTGAGGGGGTCGTTGACCGTCGTGCGAAACGAGCGAGCGAGCGAGCGGAGGGGTAGAATTATCGATGCGAGGCCCGCGACCTGTGCATTTTCAATGATCGAAATTAGAGACCAGATTCGTGGAGATCGCCGAATATCCTGATTCCTCTTCATTTCGCTTTTATTCCCCTCAATTATTCGTAACGAGCGTAATCGGAGATTAAAAAGGGAGAGTTCAACCTTCATACAGAATTCCAGTAATCACGTCTTCACCTCGAAAAATTGTTTAAAAAAAAAAAGCAATTTTAATGAGGTACGGGGTGTAATTAGTTTCATTTCTTTAACAATTATAATAAAGAACTGCTTATCCTAGCTTGGGCAAGAAGATGGATAAATTAAATTTTGTGCATGTATGTATGTGTACCGTCGTGTATGTACGTGATACGAATTTATTTCATGGCCTCGTAAATTCATATAAACTGGTAAATCAAATAAACTGTATCCCTTGAATTTCTATATTTTATTTCTTGTTACAGAGCAGCAGATTTTCGTGATTCTTCCAATTAATATTGAAAAGAATTATTTTATTATTTTACATTTGTTATTTTTATGTTCGAAAAGGAGAAGGCAACAGAAAATAATTTAATATACATCGTAAAACGAATCCCTTGCTTCGAAGAATAACGTGTAAATTCTTTTTAATTAACATATACATTCACGCGATGCTGGAAGTGGAATATATCAAGTAAAGTTTGCTTTGCGAATTAAATTATTCTACGGGAAAAAGAAAATCAATAAAGTTCCGAGTTGCTGAAATTATTGTATAGCTTTCACTATTAACATTACTTTTATTTTCCATCCGTTTCAAGGAAAGTGACGAGGTGGCTTAAATGCCTAACGCACAAATTCTGACATTTGCTCTGATTTCGCGTTTTTATGAATCAAACTATTTTATGATACATTTGTTATCTTATTTAAGAAAATATTATGTTATATAAAAAAACATTTATTTTAAAAAATCTAACTTTTTTAGAATAATGAAATTAATAAAAATTAATGAAAATAATAAAAATGGGAATTTTTTGTGCTTAATTGTTTGTAACATTCCGGTCTATCGATCCTGATATTGAAAAATGGGAAAGATTTCAATCATCGATTTCCTGTGATCGAGAAAGGAAAGTTACGACTAAACAAGATAAGCGATAAAGTTTCATTCATTGTTTTTTTTATTGTTCTAGTTTCATTCAATAAAAACAATGAATAAAACTATGATGAAACTAGGATAAAACGATGAATAAAACAACGAATGAAACTTCACCGCTTGCGAGATCGCCAAAAAAAGACCAAAAATGATAAGCCCGAGGGCAATTTTTTAAAAACATTTACAAAGTCGAATCAGATCGCAGACGATAGAATCGTTATTATTTATCTAATTAATTCTATTAAATTATTACGATCCAGGATAAGCTACTAGTCAATTTTAATTAACTCAATTTTGATTCAGTCGAAGCATCAAATCTCTTATAAAATTTCTAACTACATTATAATTCATCATTTCCTTCCTAATTCCATAATCTGCCTTCCTTTTTATGCATGTCAAATTTGAAATTATTAATTAATAATTCGTATTAATAAATTACTGTATATAGGTATTTCTTAGCAAGTTAATCGCCGCGGTAATTCAAATGAAAAAGAATCGCTTATAATTATTACAAAATTTCTGATTATAAATAACGTATAAATTCGTTGTCTCTAATTAATTAATCCCTCCTAATCCTGAAACATAATTATTTTATCCACCAAATATAGTTCCTATCTAAAAAAAGGTATGTTAAGTCGATAACTCGCATTTCTCGAAATTATTTGTTACCGTTTTTCCGTGATGCTGATTGGTTATCTCACTATGCTTACTTTGTTGAGCGGCTGTCATTATATATTTTGACAATTATTATGTATATTGAGATTTGTTTTAGTAATATTGTAATAGCAATAGGTTAATAATGTAATAGTAATGTATATATTGTAAAATTAATTA